CTGTTGTACACAAGGTCACCAGGAGTCAAAGTCAACTCAGTAGCAGCTAACCACAACAGTGGACCCAGCAGTGCTGTGCCTGGCTGTACGGAATATCTGTCTATTCTCATCATTCACAGAGCACCTACTACATACCAGGTATTGTGCTACCTTTGCTATCTCACTTAATCCTCCCTGAAGGTAGCCATTATTATTCCCATTTCACAAGGTTAAGTTTCCTGCTCAAAGTCACCAAGGTATAAAATGGGAGGACTGAAGGTTGAGTCCAGGTCTGCCCATCCCTCTGCTACACCACCCTGCCTTCAGCAGATATCAGCCCTGCTCACGAAATGTCACCAAAGTACAAAGCCATGACCAACAGAATACTAGCTTTAGGATTCGCTTACTGCTTCTATGAAAGGACTAAGGCTACCCAGACAAGGCAGTACGGGATGGCTTCTTAGAGGGGTGACATCTGAATTAGGAGAGAACACCATTCTGGAAAAAAAGAAACAGCAGATAAAAAGACACAGAGGTTCAAAGAGTTTGGGTTTGCTCTGAAAACACCGAGAGGTTCAGTATGGCTGGAATGGATCCTGAACTTGCCTTCTCTTCCCAGAGGCATTTTCAGAAGAGGTCTATCCAAGAGGCATGCCTTGTCTATTTGGTACCAGGCTGGATGGTAGAGCAGCAAGAGCATAAAACCCAACGTGAGGAATCCCAGGTGGATTCTAGGTTCTCTCAACATCCTGGATTGTGGAGTGGAAGAATAACAGGTTTGGGAATTAGGCAGATTATGTTAAGAGTCCTAGTTCTGCCACTTGCTGCATGTGTTTTCTTCAGGGCCTTCCATGGTGAAAGGTGAGGGAGGGAGGCAGGACAGGGAAAGTGGCTGTATTAGTTCTGTCTTACTGCTGTAACGAACTACCATGAACGTAGTGGCCTGAAACAACGAGGTTTATCATCTCTTGAAGGGCAGAATTCCAAAATGGGCTTTATTGGTCTAAAAGCAAGGTGTTGGCAGGGCTGCATTCCTTCTGAAGTGTCTAGGGGAGAACCCATTTCTTTGCCTTTTCAAGCTGGCTAGAGGCCTCCCACATTCCTTGGCTCATGGCCTCTTCCTCCATCTCCAAAGCCAGCAGGACATTTTCAAATCTCTCTCAGATTCTTCTGACTCATTCATCTTTAAGAACCTTTGTGATGACATTGACCCACCTAGGTAATCCAGGATCATCTCTCCATCTCAAGGTCCTTGACTCAGTCACAGCTGTGAAATCCCTTTTGCCATGCAAGGTAACATACTTTGGGGGCCATTATTCTACCAACCACAGCAGCTATGTGGTCAGTGGTTCCACTTATCAGGTCTGTCCAACAGTGGTGGGGAGCACCAGGGTATCACAGATAATGCACAGGAACATATCCACCAAGGGGCTCCCCCTACCATGAAAGGAGTGGTAGGTAGACATCTTGGGAGAAGCCTGGTCTGCCTGGGGGAAACCTACTGGTATTCCCTCTGTGGAATGTTCTGGGTTCTCTTTAGGACTCTCAGTTTCTGTAGATAATGTCATTGAGTATACACATACATGGAGCTGCACTTGGCCACAGGTTAACCTTGAACTCAGTGCTGCACAGCACTTACCAAATCTTGGTTGAGAGAAGCTTTCCCGGGAGATTCAGCCACCCAAGAGAACATCCTGTTGCTATTGGACTACAGGAAGGTCATCATGAGAAAAAGCTTCATGAAAACAATTGCATTTACTCTAACAGTTTAGTTGAGGATGTTCATTATATTTCAGCATACATTCTTTATAGGGAACCCCAGACACACAGTCTTCTGGTTTCAGAACTAATGCTAGTTATGCTTTTCCTAATAACAGGTGTGTTTCTATCAAATGCACACAAGCTCACAGCTGATCATTGTTACCAATTTGTACTCACTATTACCCAAACCCACTGCCATTGAGTCGATTTCATCTCATAGTAACATGTAGGACAGAGCAGAATTGCCCCACAGGGCTTCCAAGGCTGTAAATCACTACAGAAGCAGACTGCCTCATCTTTCTCCCATAGAACATTTGGTGGATTTGAACCACTGACCTGTAGGTTAACAGCCAAATGCCTTAACTACTTGTTTTGGTTACCTCTGTGCTGCTTTAAAGAAAATATCACCAATGGGATGGCTTAAACAAACAGGAGTTTATTCTCTTAACAGTTTGGAGGCTTTAAGTCTGAGTTCAAAGTGCCAGGCTCTAGGGGCTGGGTGAAAGCCCCTCAACCTTGGGCTTCAGCTCTGCCTCCTGCTCTTGGCTCACTGAAGCTAGAGGCTTTTCTTCACTCTGACAGCTGCTGGCTGCTGAGGCTGAGAAGCCCAAGGTTGACAAGAAAAAAGGCACAGTCTCGATGTTACCAAACCATATGGCGGGCCATTGATTCAAGTCTATTAAAGGTCCCAAGGTTGGCAGAGCATGGCAGGCTACATGGCTACATACAGGGTGCAAGTGTGCCATAAGCTAGAGACCATTCCCAAACCTGCTGCTTATATACAGAAAGCAGACTACATCCTTAAAGCAGCTACTCAGCTGCTTGTGGTAGATCCCACCATGAAGTTGATTGCCAGTCTCATCATGGGGAATAACTACCACCAGCTGCCCAGCCACTCAGCCAGGCCCAGCCAAGTTAACACACAAACTTAATGATCACACCACTGTACCACCAAAGCTCATGTGCTCACTACTAGGAATATAAATGATCAGAAGGGACAGTCCCTGGAGAAGGACATGATGCTTGGGAAGGCAGAGGGTCAGTGAAAGGGGAAGACCCTCAGTGGGATGGGTTGACACCGTGGCTGCAATGACAGGCTTGAGCATAACAAGGACTGTAAGAATAGCACAGGACAGGAGAGTGCTGCATTTGTTATCCACGAAGTGCCATGAGTCAGAACTGACTTGACGGCACCTAGCAACAATAACCATCAGTAAGCTCAGAGCCAAAACTGTTGTCTACCAAAGCTCCAGGACCTCATAGCTGCATTATGGGCATTGCCTTATTGTCCTGTCCTTAGTGCCCCTTTCTACCAGTTCCTTCACCTGTCTTACATTTTTCCTTTCAGTTGTACTGCACGTGTACCTAATCTCAGCAGAAGAAAGGCAAAAACCTTTGGTATTCCCATATTTCTTCTCTTTTGTGAGACATCCTTGATACAGTCCTCTTTGTTCCAGGAACAAGCTTGAGTGAAAAAAAAAAAAAATACAAAGAAATGAACAGAAACATGATCAATGCTGATGTTTAAACAGTGACTTTGGGGAAAACTGAGTCCAGCCCTACTGTAAAAACTGGAGCTTGTATCGATGATAAGAAAGCAAGTCTAATGCTTTGTATTCTGAGCACACTAAGATCGTAAATGCCAGCATTCTAAATGGCTTGCTTGCTGTTAACATATTCACTGGAAGAGAAATTCTTCTTTTTTTTTTTTTTTTCCTGAGGGATGCTTAGCTTTTATTATGTATTCACTCATGGTCAAAAGACATCAGCAAATTTACTAAAGTGATTGAAGACATTTCTCTTAAGGCATTTTCTAACATTCCCTATCTTTGCCTTCACTCTTTTGTAAGTGAGACTGTCTTCTCAGAAAGGAAAAATAGAAATGCACTTTACACTCTGTAGGGTAGGTATAGTTGCAGATGTCCAACATTTAAAAAAAAAAAAATGCTGGCAAAATCTCTAATGAAAATATCTTTGAGATAGACCCAACCATCAAACCACAGAATTACCAACTCTGAGAACAATTCAAGCTCTACTAGATGGTATGTCAAAATCTTCTCTTATTAATCTCTATAGATCCAGAGTCCATTTACTGAGTTAATGAACAATAACCAGTTATGAGTTTCCATTGAGTTGACTCCGATTCATGGCAACCTCATGTGTGTCAGAGTAGAACTGTGGTCCCTAGGGTTTTCAATGGATGATTTTTTGGAAATAGATGACCAGGCCTTTTTTCTAAGGTACGTCTGGGTGATTTGAACTGCCAGCCTTCCAGGTAGGAGCCAAATGCTTAACTGTGCCACTCAGGGGCTCCTGATGAACAATACACGCCACTGTCTGAAAGACCAGAGTTCCATTCAAGGCCCAGTGGACCTCGAGTGGCACAAAGTGCTTGCCATGTGGCAGGCATGCAACATATACTGAAAGACTAGCACTGAGATTCTTTAAACCCATGGAAAGAATTTCTGCCACCCCTAAACTCCAGAGCAGCAATTTTTACCACCATTGTTTTCCTCCTTGACGACACACCTGACAGATGACATTCCCCATATGCATTCACTCTCATGGGAGTACTTGGGTTTATGTAATTACCAGGGTGCTAGTCCACTCTCCAACCACCTATCTCCCACCCAAGAAAATACAGCAGAACACAAATGAATAAGAGTGTCGTTAATATAGGAACATTCTTGAATCTCATGCCATTTATTGAAAAAGTAAATCATTCACCATTTTGGCACTTCAAATATTATTAGGAGCACAGGACTTGTAAGGCATCTCAGAAGGACTGGCACAACAGACTATCAAGTGGGTCATATGAAAGGTGGTTTTGAAAGAGTGAAAAAAGGCTATGCATCATTTTTCTACCTTAATTCAATGTAAAGATAGTGCCCTGCTCACTTGCCACCATCTTAAGGATGTCCAGAATATTACTGAAAATATACAGTGGTCTGGACACTATGGATAGAGACATCAAAACTGAGAATGCTTCCCAATAGAAACCATCTCTGAGACCCACTCAGTCCTCACACACCATCTTGGAGACCTTCTCAAACTCTGGAGAAACTATCGCTGAGGGTCAGTAACACCAACTCTGTCACCTCTGTGTGCTGTGCCAAAGGTATACACTCCACCACGATCACCAAGAGATCGCCCTTACTACTGGACATGGTTCACATCCAAATCACACTGTCAACTCCACACCCAATAGGGTTTCCACTTTCCCGACCAGAAAGAAGAGGAGTCAGAAGAAGACCACTTACCACACCACCACCCGCTGAGTGCACAAGCACAGACATTCCTTCCTGGAGGTTGGCCACTTCAAAGAGCATCATGTAGGCTGTGACGAAGTTCATGGGGAACGCAGCGGCCTCAGAGAAGCTCATGTCGTCTGGGATCTTGTAGACAAACTCCACTGGCGTGCAGACCACCTCTGCCCAGGCGTTGTAGTTGACAAAGGCCATGACACGATCACCAATCTGGGCATGGGGAAGCACAGGGTTAGTGAACAGTACTAGCTCAGGGCAGAGGCTCACAGAGGGACTGAAAATGTCAGGAGCTGTCCATGGTACAAGGCATCATTGTTTCTCCTAACTCAGATGCTGATGACCCCTATCCAAATTCCCTCAGCATTTCACAGATATTTTTTAATACCTTAGTGAAATAAATGACTTTTTTTTACACATTTGCAGTTAAAAACAACAACAAAAGCAAATAAAAACTGCTGCTGAAGTTTCACAAATTCACAGTTGATTTCAGGAACAGTTGACAGCTCTGTATTCTCTGCCTGTCCATCTTCATCATGACTTCTTTCTCCCCAAAACCAGAGAAGCTGGTTCTCTTCCTGAGATGCTGGACATAATTAAGGTGGTGGCAAGAGGGCTGGAAATATCAGTACATCCAATTAAGATAGAGACACAGTGCATAGCTGCTTCTGCTCTCTTCAAACCACCTTTCACCTGACCATCTTGTGATCTTCCTTAAGGCCTTCTCAGAGATTTCAGCCCCCACAGCCTAGGATGAGGGACTTACATCCTTGCTGGAGAATGGATTTCTTTCTCACAAGAGGTTTTTCTATATGCACCATTTGATCACAACAAAAAAACTCCCATTTACTGAATGCTAATGTACAAGGAAGACAGGCCTGGTGCTCTGCTCCCAAAGAGCAGCCAGCGAAAAGCCTGTGGAGGCCAACAGTCCGATCCACACCCTTGACGGGGGTGGCACTGGTTCAGGCAGCGTTTCATTCCACTTTGCAGGAGTGACCACGAGCTGACTCACCGGCAGCTAACACAACAATAATGTGCCAGACTCTGAAAGCTTCATTTTACGTCGGTTATTTTATCATCGATACAACACCATTATGGGACAGGTATTGTCCCCATTATATAGATGAAGAACCTGTGGTAAGAAAGGGTAAGTCTCTCCCCTGAGGACAAACATCTAGTAAGTGTCCTCAGGAGCCGGGCTCAAGTCTGTCTGACTCCGATCCCCGCCATGCTTGTTTACTGAACTCCTTCTTAGTCTTGGGTTCTAGGCACTGGATACATGTAATAGTGAATGAGGCTTTTGAAATTTTCACAGGCCCTGGAAATCTCCTATAGTATTTACTGTGAGTGATTGATAGGGCTTAGACTGAAAAGCCATCTGGAAGGGGAAATATTTTAGTAGAGAATGAAGCCTTACACCAAAGTCATGAAGCTGTTATGGTGATGTTGCATACACTGATCCAAAGATAATATACCAAAATCCAAACTAATTGCCATTGAGTCAATTAGACTCATAGTGATCCCCATTGGGTTTCCAAAGCCATAAATCTTTATGGAAGCAGACTGCCTTGAAAGGTAATTTTTTCCCCCTTTTTTTTTTTTTTTTTTGCCTTAAAATTTGAATACTGGTGGGTCTTCTAGCTTAGTATGAAAATAGTATGTAATCAGAGAAATTCGTTTTTTTTTTTTAGTAAGGAGAGGTGGATGGGATCCAGAGATGTTAGAAGAGCCTGGAGATGAGTTCCCTAGGGCCTAGGAGGTTGGCCAGCATGGCTGGCTCTGAGTTTTCTGGGTGAAAGCTGCCACAGCTTCAGTGTGTGGATGGTACAGTATCTCCAGGGACTTGATTGTCAATTTAGCCAGGGCTGATGTGGGGGGAAGACACCAGGCTGACCCTGGCCCCATTCAGATGTGGGTAATGAGTTCAGATGGAGGAGGCAGTTGGGACAGAATTTGCACTGCTCTCAGTGAACCTGGGCACCTCTGCTTGATCTCGGGCATCCCTGCCAAGGAGCTGAATCAGCCTAAGCAGCAAAGACACGTGAACCCACAGGTCAGTACTTTGCCCCATGTGTTTCCCAGGGCTCTCCTGCCAGAAGCAGAAGCAGTGCAGAGCCCGGTTTGCTTGTTCTGAGACAGAAGCCAGCAATTAATCAATGTGAGCATCCGAGAGCTGGGCAAGGAGGACTTCCTGACTGCCCCCTCCATCTCTCCTCCTTGTCCTTGGGAAGCCTGGCATAAACCCAAGTAGGTTTACCCACTTCCTGAGCCGTCTCTGAGCCTGCTGGAGAGGGAGAAGTCCTTGCCTATATTTATCCACGTGGTGCAACTGTGGCTGCAGTTCCCACCTGCCTCCTCTCCCCTCTTGCAAGGCCCAAATGAATCTGGACTCCTCACATCAGTCCTCCACTCAGACTGTGGCACACATGGCGTTGACACGAGTTGGAGATGACTCAACACCAACTGGTAGTCTGACTCCAGACAAAAATCATTAATTGATTACAGCTGGAGCTCAGTGCTGTGAAGTTGGCATTGTTGTCGTTGGTAGGTGTGTTGAGTCAGTTCTGACACACAGAGACTGCCCCATAGGGTTTCCTTGGCTCCAGTCTTTATGGAAGCAGATCACAGGGTCTTTTCCCCACAGAGCTGCTAGGTGAGTTCAAGACGTAAAGGTTATATAAGGGTTACAACAGGGAAACCTACCAGTTCTGGGAATATTAGTTTAACTCTTTAAGCCTCATCATTAAGTTCTGAAATGAGGATAATATTAGTAAAGGTCCTTATGAAGATGAAAAGCCATTTGCCATCCAGTTGACTCTGACTTCTGGTGACCTCGTGTGTCAGAGTAGAACTGTGACTCACAGGGTGTTTAATGGGTGACTTTTTGGAAGCAGGTCACCAGGCCTTTCTTCCAAGGCACCTCTGGGTGGACTCGAACCTTAACTGAGCAAGTTAAGCATCTGCACCACTCAGGGAAGGTTAAAGGACACAATATGCAGCCAAAACACTTAACACAGTGCATGGAAAATGGAAAAAGAATAAACACCAGCCTTAACAAGGACAGACTGGCTCATGAAGTTCACAGTCTATTGATCAACAGCTAAATGCTGACTCATAAAGCAGAGTAAGTAACTATCTAAAAGAAAACAGAGAGGAGGGGCTGTCCTGCTGGTGTTGTGTGTCCCCGATCCCTGAAAGGCCTGAAAACTAAGGAGTAGATTTTGGGAATGGCATCTCAGAGGCAGCATTTAGACCACAGGATAGCCAAGGTTAAACATGGATATTCTCCTTTTCACAGACTTATAGAAAAACCCAAAGATGCAGACTCGAGGCCATGGAGTAGCTGATGGCCTCTAGCATTGACACAGAGTGCAATGTAAAGAGTATTTCAACCACCAGGACAGTGATGGCCACAGCCATCACAGCAGAGCTGAACTTGAACTCGGCTCCATCATTGCAACTGCACTACCAAAATGGCAAAAGTGGGTAAGCCCCTGGCTCAGCCTCAGCCTCTCAGCCTGGGTCTGGAGGCAGGTATCTCTTCTTTTCTCTCTGATATCCAAGTCACCTCATTATTTGAAACTGCTAAGAAAGAGTCCTGGGCAACGGAGCACAAATTATTCCTTTACTGCTAGGCTTTTGGCAACAACTTTCCAAGTCTCCCTTGCAATCAATCAAACCAAGAGAGCTTACTCCACATGCCGCCATGTGCAATCCCATCTCTAAAATGATGGAAAATCTTAAGGCACAGTTGTAGAGGGGAAGTGAGCCTTGGTATTGTCCCAGGTCACATCCTGACTGGACACTTGTATGTGGCTTCTTTTATTTGTTTGTGCAGTGGAAAGTCATTGGAGGGGAGGCAGCTGAGGAACAGTCTGATCATAAGTAAGCCAGTGCTAACCAGCAGATGACAGATCATATTTAAAGGAAAATATACAAAATCAAGGCAGCCCTGGTGGTACAGTGGTTAAGCACTAGGCTGGTAACTGAAAGGTCAGCATTTCAAACCCACCAGCCACTCTGTAGGAGAAAGTTGTGGCATTCTGTTTCCATAAAGATCACAGCCTTAGAAACCCAAGAGGGCAGTTCTACTCTGTCCTATAGAGTTGGTGTGAGTCAGAATGGACTGATGGCACCTACCACCACCAACAGCATTCATAATCAAGCATAGTAAGGTCTCCCTATAAACCAAGTCCAACAGTATCACTGTCCACCACTCTACTGTGAAATAACAGGCTAGTCAATGCTCAGAATTAGGAGAGTGAGAATATGATCTTTTCCTTTGGGTTTATGTGGGGGAGTAAAGGGCAGACCATATTTCTTATAAACAGCTTTCAGAGAGAGATGGTGCTGCCTCTGGTTACATGACTTACCTGGGGACAGAAAATATAAAGTCACATGAAGGAAAAGAAAAAGCTCATTTTCTTCTTCCTCAACATTTTCAGCTGTATTATCTTGAAGCCACTGACTAAAAGACTGGTAACTGGGATGATATATCCAGTGTTCATCGTAATGAATTTGGGGCCTACTGACGTCTTCAAAGTGTACTAAGGCCGGAAGCACTGAGACTCAGTAGGCACAGGTTCAATCCCATGAGCCTTTTGGCGCTGCGCTGTGGAGGATTTGGCTTCAGTCCTACTCTCCTGGATTCATTATTGCAGTATTTGAGGGTGGGGCAACCAAAAAACCCAAATCTGTTGCCATCGAGTTGATTCTCACTCGTGGCGACCCCATGTGTCACAAAGTAGAACTGCTGCATAGAGTCTTCTTGACTGATGTCATTCCAGGAGCAGATGGCCAGGCCTTTCTTCCATGACACCGCTGGGTGGGTTTGAACCACCAACCTATAGGTTAGTAGTTGAGTGTACACTGTTTATGCTACCTACGGACCTCGAGGGTTGGGAGCAGGAGTAAAAAGCATAGGGCAGTAGGAAGACTGAAAAGCTCTGGTGATTTGAGAACCCAGGTTCTAAAACTATGACCTACTTTTCTGTCCTCACGGGAAACGACTGTGCCCTTCTCAACCTCATCTGTAAAGGGTTAATGATGACCATTACCTTTCAGGATGGTGGTGAGGCTGAGAAAAGATAACTTGCCCATGTTGCCAGTTACAGTGGCTCTCCAGTGGTATCTCCCTCCGCTCCTCCCTAGGGAAGCGCTTAGCTATGAGCTAGAGGCCCACTATCCGGTTTGCACTAGTTTTTCTGACTCCAAAGTACTGTAGTTTTGTGCCATCGATCTGTCCACAGTGTTTCAATTTTTATAGACCCAGTTCTAATCGATTTGCATTATAATGGAAGGAAGGACCATACATCTTTCTATTTCAAATCATTTTCATTATGGAGAAATGTGAGCATGTAGCAAAGTAGGCTAATGTAATGGAGCCCTAGGTACCCATCACCCTGCCCAAAAAGCCATTCACCTGTGGCTGATTCCACCCCATTGTCAGATCTCTCCCCTTTGGTTTAGATCTTCCACCTCCAAAAATGACATTTTCCCAGTGGCTAAAATAGTCATTCATAAATGATTCCTTAAAGGCATCCGTTAGAGAGCTACTTAACAGAACCAAGTTATAAAATACAAATGCTATTTCCTCTCTGACTTTTGCCTTTTATAATTGAATTTTGAGCCTGAGGTAACGGAAAAGCTAGACGTTGTGAGTGGGGGGAAGGGGCATAGACTTTAGTTAATCTAAGCCCAAATGTTTAATTGCTACATAAGTACCAATGAAGGGGACAACAAGCTTTGCCCTGCCCGCCTTCCCCAACCGTGGTGAGCAGCAAATCACCTATACCCAGGACAGGCATTATGCACACGGAAAGCCCTATCATTGTAAATATTGTTAATAAAAACCAAATCAGACAACAATAATAATACATTTTGTAGATTGTTCCCCATATTTCTGCATCATCTGATACTAACTCTATGGGTTCCAGATAAATATTCTTGAAGTCAGAAGATTACCTCGTATCCTTTGACACTGTCTCCCAGAGCTTCCACTATCCCAGAACACTCAAACCCAGGCACCAGTGGTGTCTTGGGAGGGTTGTCAATATTCCCTTGTCGCACCATCAAGTCAATGAAGTTTAAACCACTGTAAACGGCAAGTAAGAAAAAGAGAAATTCAAGATGAGATCCAAAAAAAGAACACTGGCTTGGTTTTCTTTTTTTTCTTCCCTCCTTTCCCTGTTACTTCCTTCCCTCCCCCTCTTCCTTTCTTTCTCGAATTTTTCTTTCTTCCTCTTTCTCTTGTTCTTTCTGGCAATGCATTCCTTATAAAAACCTCACTTATATTGATGTCACCAATATAGCGAAACTTAAATACCTGTTTGCAGAGAAGTTATATATAGATATACACACACACACACATAAAATATGTTTGGCAGTTAAAAGAGTGGTTTTGGAGTTTACACCCTTAATTCAAAAGCTCATCCTTTCACCTCTCTCAAGACCTGTTAACTCTTACTTTAAAAACACAGCCTGACCTTCTTGGTCATTAGACATTCTAGCACTTAATTGAGGATAAAAAAAATTTGTATGCTATGAAGAGGTTATAAGCAGATACATGGAAAGAAATTAGACCCAGTGGCCACCAATCTGTCTATAAGATAGAGAAAGAAAAGCTAACTTAAAATGTGTCAAAACAACCAACCATCACATCTCAATCCTCACTCCCACTTACACCAGTGCTATCCTATACATGGCCCCACAATAGTGAATATGAACTATCAACAGATTACATATGTCCATCTGGGGAATGAAGACCCAAGAAGAGAAATGGCCCAATATAGATGGAATACTAGAATGTCTGTTTCAAAAACCAAAGACATCTTTGTTATTAGGTGTTTTCTGTGAACATATTACTGTTATTTTTAAAGTAAGAAAGTTATTGAAATATATCAAAGGCATCACCTTGGAAAACCATATACTTAAATCCAGCGAGGCTCTCAATGCTCCAAACTGTATTATTATTTTTTAGAACTCCTCTTGGGAATAGCATTTAACATCCACTTGTCACATGAGAAAGCTCCCCATTGAATCTTCTTTTTTTTCCCCACCAGATGTGGTTGAAACGTACTTCCTGTTTTTAATTAGCCGCCATCTAAGAATGCTTTGGGTGGTACAGACCATTAAGCACTCTACTACTAGCTGAAGGGTGGTGATTCAAATCCCCTAGAGGTGCCTAGGAATACAAGCCTGGCAGTCTGCTTCTGAAAGGTCACAGCCTGGAAAACAACGTGGAGCACAGTTCTGTTCTGATAGTGAATCACAACCGACTCAACAGCAACTAGCAACAGACTGAATGGTTTATACGGAGGTTTATACAAACCACACTCCTTAGTCTGGCCCAGTGCCTATTAGCACCTGGCCACATCTCATTTCCAACCAAGATGACACGAACCCATTCTTAAGCATGTCTGTCCTATTCTTCCTTGGCCTCTTGGAAGTCAAGGAAGTCTCTCACACTACTTGTATCTCTTAGTCTCTGCTCATCAGTCCCATCCACAGAGAATAATGAAGGCAATGGCACATACTGCCCCAGTCGGCATATCTTTAAGATGTGCTGTGCCTGAAGGCGGCTGCATGGCTCATACTTCTTTGCCTCTGGCATAACGCCAGGCTCACAGCAACATAGCAGGTCCTCCAGTAGCATGGGCTGAATGAAGGAATATTCATGAATATTCATATATATGTGTGGCCAGTCTGTCTACTGGTTCCTACATAGCTCCCAATGAAGGCTCAGTACAGATGGATACATTACTAAAATGAACGTGTAGACTCCCAAGGGTTCTACTTTGATGGTGACTAGTTATTTGGATCGTTTATTAATCAAAATGCTCTCCAATAATGTGGCCCTTTCTTAAGAGCTTGGGGAGACCTGGGTAAAGTCCCAGTCTCACCACTTACAATGAACTTAAGCACCCCAGTGATCAGGACAATAGGAAAGGACGGGGCAACATTTCCTTGTTACACATAGGGTCTTCACATGTCGGAGCTATCCACCACCCCAATCTACAGAACCTGGGTAAGGTACTCAACCCTCTGAGCGTCATCTTCCTCATCTTTAAAGTAGGAGTCACAATCGTGCCTACCCCCGAGGTTGTTTTTCTAATTAAAGAGCAAAGCGCCACATCACAGTGCCAGACACACAGAGGTAACTCAATGCATCTCAGCCCTTTAAAGTTGCAGCTTGACTTCTGTTAAGAAGGCAGAGCATGCGATGTATTGTTGGAAGGCTCTCATTTCAAAAAGGTTAAAAATCATCTCGGAGCTGAAATGAGAAAACTTCAGCTATCTCTAAGCTTCACTTCTATGAAACAGCTCATTTTCCGACACAACCTAATGAATAAGGCATCATCGTATAACAATAAAAGGAAATTCTACATCCCAAATCAAACACTCCATCTCATTTCATGCATATTTTGGCTCACTGTGTTTTCCTCTGCATGAAACCCTATGATTTCCCAAGGCCCTGATGGAGAAATGCCAGAAGAAATGATTTGACAGTTCTGCAAACATGCCAACCCCGAAGAGGGCTTCATCCGAGAGGCTTATCACACTGCTTACTCAGTAGGTCTGCCTTCAAACACTGCTCAATGCAAACTAGACCCGGGGACGACCAACTAAGAGCCAGCATGTGACGTTCAGGGAGAAGGCCTAAAATTGACTTTACAAAATCCTATAGTATCTGCATCCTCAGTGAGGCACATAGTGTCCCTGTGGCAATGCCAGCCATCTCCCCAAAGGGATTATGAAGCAGGAAGATCCAAGAGGATGGGTGTAGGTCAGGGTTGTTTATCTCAACACAAAAGCAAGATGAACACATGTACAGGGTTGGCAGACAATGGTTCTACAAGTGTATTTGTATGTTCTGTAAGAATTCCTGGCATACAGTAGAGCTAACAAGGGACAAGGTTTTAGTTCCGTCTTGGCTACAGCCAGCTGCCTGGATGGAGTGAGTAGTTGGACCTGTGAGCTCGGGACCATGGTCACAGGGGACATCAAGCTCACTTGGCATAACATACTACACAAAAATATTGTTCCACATCCTACATTGGCGAGTAGTGACTGGGATTTTAAAAGCTTGCAAGCAGCCATCTAGATGCAACGATGGGTCACTCCTCATCCAGAGCAAAGAAGAATGAAGAAAACCAAAGACGTATGGAAACAATTAATCCAAGGGACTGGGACACCATGCGAGCCTCAGCCTATATGACTATGAGACCAGAAGAACTAGATGGTGCCCGGCTACCACTGACTTTACAAAATCCTATAGTATCTGCATCCTCAGTGAGGCACAGAGTGTCCCTGTGACAACACCAGCCATCTCCCCAAAGGGATTATGAAGCAGGAAGATCCAGGAAGATGGGCATAGGTCAGGGTTGTTTATCTCAACACAGAAGCAAGATAAACACATGTACAGGGTTGGCAGACACTCATTCTTCCCCACTTGGAGGGAGATCTACGTAGGAGATCCTGAATACAGTGGGAGAACAATGTGGAACAAAACTCAAAACCATAAAAAAAAAAAAAAAGGGTGCTAGGTTTGCTGGTCTGATGGAGCCTGGTGGAACCCCTGTGATTATGGCCCCTAGCTGCCCTTCAGGTCTGGAATTGAACCCCCACAAAAGACAGGCATATGGGCTGAACATTTACATTAGGTAGATACACTCCTTGGAGAGATCAATCATGGGAGAATAGAAGGACTGTGTATGCACAGGGAGACAGCTGGGGTGGGGAGGCAGGAGTGCATGGAGGGATGGACACAGGAAAGAGGTAACTGTGGGGAGGAAGTGGGAGGGGAGCTGTTACATTGTGGGAAATTGCAGTCAATGTCATGAGACAGCATGTGAACTGCTGTATGGAAAATTAATTTGCTCTGTAAACTTTCACCCAAATCACAATAAAAGTTTAAAAAAAAAAAAAAAGCTAGGCGAGCAGTTGTAGTGGAGTGCCCTGGTGTGTTGTGCCGGACCTCTAGCAGGGTTCCCACAGCACCCCTCCTCACAGCCATAGTGTTTACCAGTTGCCTTCGAGCCGACTCCAGCGACCCCATGTATCAGAGCACTAATGTATGTGCTCCGTAGGGTTTTCAGTGGCTGAGTTTTCAGTCGATCGCCAAGCCTTTCTTCTGAGGCACCTTGGGTGAGACTCCAACCTCCAACCTTTCAGTTAGCAGCCCAGAATGTTAACTGTTTGCACCTCCCAGGGGTCTTAGCATTTAAAAACAAACACAAATGCATTGTCATCAAGTCAGTTCCAAATCCTGGTGACCCCATGCTTTACAGAGAAGAACTGGTCCATGGGGTCTTCTTGGCTATCATCTGTTAGGGAGCAAGTCGCCAGGCCTCTCTTCCACAGTGCTGCTGGGTGCATTTGCACCAGTTGAGTACAAACCATTTGTACCACCCAGGGACACTCCTGACCATTTACTGAGGGGTTAATTTGCCATACCTATTTTTCAGATGAGGAAACTGAGACAAATAGCTAGCATGCTTATCTGCTAGAAGATTAAGTAACTTGCTTAAGGTCACTCACACTTTTAGAAACCATCAAAGCCAGGATATGAATTCAAGCCAAGCTTAGGTCCTGAGCCCTTACCACCACACTCTACTACCTCTTTGTAGAAACTTAGTGATCCACTGCCCCTGCTGAATGCCTCATATGTCAAAATACTTAATGTGTATAACTCCTTCATTGGAAGGAAGATGGGGCAATCTACTTCCGTAATGATACTGCCTCGGAAACCCAAGAAGGGGTCGCTATGAGTCAGGGCCAACTCAACGGCACATAACAACAACAACACAACAACATAACTCCTTCATGTCTTGGTGGACAGCTGATTGCGTAGTACAAGGCCTCTGTTGGAGAAGTGGTCATTCATAATGTAGGCAGGAATCCATCCATTCCTTAGCACGAAAAAAAAATGAGCCAGTCCAAAATTGGGTGTTTTCTCAAAAAGTGGGAGTTGGGAAACATGGAGCAAGGAAACAACTTAGCATCCCACAGAATGTCTATCAAAAGATAAGCCTGAGCTGGAGTGACTTAGCTGAGCTGAAGCTTTGGAGAAGTATAAATGAAAATGCCCACACA